AATCGTAGGATATTTCCATTCCTTTTATTAAACCTTCTTTTGTCTTTTTTCAAAACCAAACAACACGGCGAACGGATACCTCATTTGATAATTTAATTTTTACATCAAAACAAGAGAAGAAGGAAATTAGAGAAAAAGGAAGTTATTAGAGGAAGTTTGAGAGAAGCCCCCGTGGTAGAGAAGGTAAGGAGTAAAAGGTTAGCATGGTATGGGCATGTTATGAGGAGGGATGAATCGCATGTTACAAGGAGAACGTTAGTTCTAGTGTGGAGGTACACTGGTAGAGGTAGACCTAGAAAGAGATGGATGGATTGTGTAAAAGGTGACATGATCAAAAAGGGAGTGATGACTGAGATGACGTATGATAGAGTTATTTGGAGAGTAAAACTAAAACTAAAAGGTTATTTGGAGGATGATGACGATGAAAACAAACTTGGTCAGTTAAAACATCACATGAATTAATATAATCAAGATATAACATTTCATTTCAATCGTAAGACAATTTATATTAACATTCGATTTAAACAATAAATCGAAACTTCTCTGCGTGACAATTGTATTAAACATGACAACTTAAACATTTGGAGGATTAATGAGTAAAGATCTTGTAACGAAATATATTTAAATGGGTGCCATAAGAATGTTTTTTCATTAGTAGGAATATTTTATGTAGGCAACACTAAAAATACTGAAAACTGTTGTTACGCACCTCGCTGTTTCAGCATTTTTAAGACCCTCTATTAAAAATAAGCGCCAAATGGTTTGGGGTACGGACTACGGATCTTGCGGTCTAAGGTTCGAATCCCGCCATTCGATTGTCGTGAACCATATCCTAGCACAAGCCTAGCTTAGTTGGAATGGTTAATGGAAATATTAGCAAATTAACAAAAATCTACTGATATCTTTTATATACAAAAAAATTAAGTAACTACTTCGTATTATTCGATGCGTAGTTACTTCTATGAAGGGCCAAATCCCTTACGTACACAAATCTTCGATACACAGCGATTACAGTCTTCACAAAACTTCTAATCTCAAGCTCGGTAAGTTGAAGTTAAGTTAGTAAGTTGGTTGCTGGAAGTTACTTACATTAAGGTTTAATTGGCCAGTAAAGCTTATTTAATTATTTTTTTATTTATTTGTTATTTTGGCTAGTACTGTAGCCAGCCCAATAGCTGGACTTGATTTCAGCTGGTATAATCTGAACGCGAACTAACTACTACTGGACAAATAGGATCATAGTACACAGGTATTTTAGTGTTAGTGGCCGACTTTCTTGACGATTTCGTATTTAGAATCCTCTACCACACGGATTTCGAACTGGTTCTTTTAGGTCACAATTCTATACATTTTGTGAAAGTAAAATAACTTTTATAGTTAATCTCTGATTTAGAATTGATGTATCTATTTAAATTGGAAAGAAATAGAAATAATTTATTGAAAACAACAAAGATTGAACCTTTGATATAACTTAAAACAATGTTTAAAATTAGTGTACAATATCAAATACAACTTGTATTGTTGTATGTTTAAGTTGTATTGTTAACTAGCTTTCGCCCGCGACTCCGTCCGCGTGGTATTAAAAAAAAAACAAAAATAAGTACCCTATGTGTTTTTCCATACTCTGCTCTACATCTATGCCAAATTTCATTCAGATCCGTTCAGCAGTTTAGGCTACAAACTCTAACAAACATCCATCCATCCATCCATCCATCCATCTAAACTTTCGCATTTATAATATTAGTTTGATGTTAGTGTAGCAAAGTTTAAAGTCAGTAAACTCGAGTGGAATTATTTTTTAGATTATACCTTGACTATACAAAGCACAAATTATGTTTAAACAGTTGTATAAACAAATGTCAATATGATATATGACAATTGTTACTATGGTGGAATTTTCGGGTACGGAGTGCTGACATCAATTACTAAAGGCAGAAATACACGCACTAGTGAAACGAGGTACCAGGTGTAGATTTTAACAAAATTTAAAAGGCTCGCCGCTCGTCGAATATTATCGAGTAGTTGAATGAATAAAATAAGTATATTGTTGACAATCCTCAACAATATTTATTGGCGACCTATGTTTTTTCTTGCTTGGCTGCTAAAAAACTATCAAAACGAACCACGAGATGGGTGACAAACAATGAGGCATTATATCCTCATTCCATATCTACCTTCGGCTTTCTGACAAACCTTGAGAATTAAGAGTTATGAAAATCAGTAGACAGAGTTGCGAACACATCTGCAATGTCTATTAGCGGTGATCGCTTCGCCATTTTGGCGGATTCAGGTTACATGCTCCTTTACCACTTTATAATATAAAAATTGTGCTGCAAAGCGCGGCGACTCGTACGAGTGCGGGTAGCCACTTCATGACTCAGTGAACACGTATATATATTTATATTCATGTTTTTATTAATAAACAAAAACTCATGATTCCGCCTTCTTATATAAGCAAACTACCACATAACAGTAAGATTTATAAAATAAAAAATAACATACAGCAAAACTAGAAGTTAGTTGAAAAGGTAAACAACCTTATAAATTGTTTTTATAATTTTAAATGTTACCTAAAATGTTCTTCCTTTAAGAAATAACTCTAAAACGAAAAACTGCTCCAAAAACATACGAGAAAAATAGCCATTTGAGATATTTCAATAAATACAATTTATAATAAATTAGCTATAAACAAAATAATATGCATTCTCATAATGTTATAAATATAAGATATTACAAGGCATTGTTTGTTAATATATAAACAATTGAGTAAACCGTACAGCCCCGCCCGCGGCAGCCACTCAGCAATGTGTAATACTCGCCTTTGAATCATGTCGTTTATCAAATACTTATCATTATTCTGTTTTACACCTAACAACAGATATGGTCCACAAACTATTGATCAGATTAAAGATCTACACGTTGGTTTAGACCCCTCTACCACAGTGCCTAGACGTGTGCACGTAAAATTGTTAAGCTGCGGATCAACAATTTAACAACGCACGACTAAACTAGATAATTCTCATTATTATTATAAACTTGCTTTCTCCCGCGACTCCGGCCTCGTGGAATTAATATAAAACAGTAGCCTATGTGTTCTTCCAGACAATACTCTACATCTATGCCATGTGATGAATGTTGTGCCAGAGGCATAATTTTAGTCCCTTTTTTTTCCACCCTTTTCTTAAAAGGAAGGTATAGGAAGGAAAATTGTATTTGACTTTGAAGATGCACAGGAGAGGGAAATATTCTGTTTATGTGCGTCTACTTCCCGTCAATTAAGGGTAGACAACGCATCTGCAATAGGGATAATCTATGGGCAGGCGCCTTGCTATTTCAGGTAGACACTTGCTTTGCCACCTGATAATATAAAAATAATAAGAAGATACTTGCAAATCGCTTATTAGGTATGGTATCTAAGTACTTTCTTTAAACAATCTACAATGATGTTTAAAAATAAAACAATGTGCTTGTTTTAAAATATTTATTCATTGATAGTAACTGTATATCACAAGTACAGCGACAATAGGACAATACGATATTATAATAATTTCCCTTAGTACCCTCCTATATCGCCTAACATAGTAACTATATTTTACTACATAAATAATTATATATTTATAATTGACACTATGGTTACATTCGCTAAATGCCGTAGGCAAATCACTGGTATGGACATAATGTAAAAGGCTTGTGTATTACAAAAACTAAAAGGTTAGCATAGTATGGGCATGTTATGAGGAATGAATCGCATGTTACAAGGAGAACGTTAGTTATGAATGTGGTACCCCGGTAGAGGTGGACCTAGAAAGGGATGGATTGCGTGAAAGGTGACATGATCAAAGGAATGATTGAGATGACGTATGCTAGAGATATTTGGAGGACAAAAACCTGTTGCGCCCTACGGGAATAGGATAAGGGGGAAGATGATGATGTTGGTATATTCAAAAATACGATGAAACCAACAATAAATCAATTAATACTAATGATATCAATCGCGTAAATGAATCGGCAATATTTTATGTTGGCTTATTCGAGGATAATTTTGGCCTATTCGAGTGTATAACAGATTAAGTACATTTGTCCATTCAAATAGTTTATGCCCATTACTAATAAATAAAAAAATAATTGTGCTATTAAAAGCGAACACCAAAATACTGGCAAATAAGTATGGTATCACAATTTTAACTTAATTAAGATATAACTTAAGTCGGTACCGAAAAATGCGATACATTTGTGATTTAGTAAATTGGGAATAAGACAGAAATTTTTCTTTCAAATACTATATCAGTGCGTGAAATTAAAAATAAATTAATATTCTTATAAAAAGATAAAGCGAGGAATTAAAACAATACGATAGCTTTTATAATATTAAAGATGTAAAAATTATGATATTTACATTTATACATATGAAGCTATAAAAATAAAATTACATCTTGATAACTGCGTACAAATTAATACGAAACGTAATATTTTCTCGCTTTTTTCTTGTTTTGATATTTTTCTATAAGTAATCTCAACATAAAACATTAAGTACAATAATTTTGTTCAAAAATTGACTAAAGTGTGAACACTTATGGTCGAGTTTAGCTTAGCAGTTCTTGTTTCGGTAATTTCAAAAATTAAAAATAATTAGCACCTTCAAATAACCTTGGGCTTCCACAGCCTACAGCCAAACCAAATGCTGTTATTTCTTTCATACTAAAATACAATGTAGACAAATATATCTTTTTTAACTGTTTTCGTTAAAAAAGGTGCATAAAATATATAGGAATATGTATTCGACATTTGTGACAAAGTTTAAGTCTTAAAAGGCAAATTATACTAATTTCAATACAAAGTGAGTTACAGGATGTCCCGAAATAACGTGTACAAATATAGGACATCATGTATATAATTATAAATATATGTTAAGGTCCAGCCTTGTCCAACAATATAATAAAAAAATCGCCTATTCTCTCGAAGGAACCTTGTAAAAGGCACTTTTTGGTGTTTTTAATAGATTTTTTTTTGGTGTAAAAACCACATTTAGGACGTCTTCTTTTTTTCTTGCAGTTTTTTGTAGCTCTGTAATAAAAATGTTTAGTTCTGTATACTTTAGATTTTGCACAATAGAGTAATTTTTAGAATATACGAAGCGATTACCTCCTCCGCCATGCGGTGCAGCAAGGCGGCGGTCTCGGGGCCGGTCTGCTCCACCAGCGACCGGAAGATGCCGCCCTCCTGCTCGCTCGCCTCCGACCTGCCCACAACAGAACTGAACATAACACATCAGGCCCAGTTGGCACCTCACCCACCACACTACTCTAGTCCTCGACGTGCCAACTCAGTCGGGCACAGGTGTAATTGTTGCGTACCTATTGGAGTATGTCCTGACCCTGTCGCGGGAGAGCACGAAGGTCTCGTTGAGGTCGCTGTCCTTTGGACGGTCCTCGAACGGGAAGTTCTCGGGTATCGCCAGCGGCGCCTGCGACATTGACATGTTACTTAGTGCTTGTACGCTCCCCTTATCCAATGTAATGTAACATGTAGAGTACTTACTTGGCTCTTAGTGAGCAGTGTCCTCCTGGGCGGCAGGTCTGGCTTGCCCGCAGCGCTGGTTAGCAGCTCGTACGGGTGCCCGGACTCCACCACGCGCCCCCTGCACACACAAACATGTCAAATATCTAATTTTTGGCTGATTAGCTGGAAAAAATGCATTTGTGTCATAAATGACTACAACACTGTTTAATGTTAACTGCATCAATGTGGGTATAGTACTGACTTGTCCATGACGATGACGCGGTCGTAGTCCATGACGGTGTTG